GGAAAACCTGTTGGTTTGATTGTCACTGTCGTTTTCCACCACCCAACAATCAATATAGAAGAATCAGGCGTTTGTTTAAAAAGAACAAAGTGGTTCATCTCCCTCCACCATTGTACCAAACAGGGGCAGATCTTGAAGCGCAAATAGATCATTGGGGTGGACTTGAAACGGTCCTCCGAGGAGGAAATTGGCACACTCCAGCGAATATGCCTGAATAATATGAGGTTCATCATACTTGCCAATTGGCACAAAAAAGTATATTTTGGGATCTGCCGTACTGGAAATATCATTTTCTCATACACAATCTTGATGTAATGCACATTGAGAAAAAAATTTTGATAACATCATGCATACAGTGTTGAACGTGTAAGGAAGAACCAAAGACAGCGTCAAATCATGGATGGACTTTCCTGATATATGCAATAGAATTGAGTTGCATATTCTGAGTAATGGAAAAGCACCAGTTCATGTATTTCGTTTGGGTGCAGAACAAAAATCTGCATTGTTTAATTGGGAATCATCTGCTGTAAAATTCCCTGATATGTATGTATCTAATCTGGCTAAATCTGTGGAGAAAGGACAAAAGTTTTCAGGGATGAAGAGTTATGATTTTCATGTTTTATGCAACGATTACTCAGGACATGTTCATGAGGCACTAGGAGGCATTAGACCATTCTTCCGTGATCTAAGTACAAGGACATTATCAACTGATGTAGTTGCACAACTTTCCACAAATATTCCAATACTGCTGTGAAATTTAGAGAAAATATTTCTACCTGCATTATTTGATGTTATGGAACATTTACCCATATACCTCCCACACGAACCAGAGTTAGGAGGACCTGTTCAGTTTAGGTGGATGTATACGTTTGAACGCTTTATGAAGCATTTAAAGGGGAAGGCAAAAAACTTAGCAAAAGTTGAAGGCTCTATCGTGGCAGGAAGTTTGATGGAAAAACTTCGCATTTCACGTCGTACTATTTTACTCCAAAAGTACGTACACCCAAACGGGCTCCAAGACGTTATGACGATGAGGGTGTGAGACAAACTAATGCAGTGGAAGCTGTACCAGATAGAATCTCACCGATTCCACGTTTTAGTGAGAAACTAAAAGAAACTTGTTGGTCAAACAAAAAATACTACCACAGCGCACATACATACATCCTTCTAAATTGCGACGAATTGGCTCCTTACGAGAGGTAATAATGGAATATATATATATATATATTATATATTTATGTGTGTATGTGTTTATTAATTACCATGCATTGATGTATATATTAATTAACAATGCATGATGCATGTTTTGCGGCAAACAGGCTCCAAGACGTTATGACGATGGGAGTGTGGGACAAACTTATGCAGTGGAAGGTGTACCATATATATTATCACCGATTGGACGTCTTAGTGGGAAACTAAAAGAAACTTGTTGGTCAAACGAAAAAGACTACCACAGCGCACATACATACATCCTTCTAAACTGCGACGAATTGGCTCCTTATGAGAGGTACTAATGGAATATATATATATATATATATATATATAATTACCATGCATTGATATATATATATTAATTAATTATGTGTGGTGTATGTTTTGCAGCAAACAGGCTCCAAGACGTTATGACGATGGGGGTGTGAGATAAACTTATGCAGTGAAAGGTGTACCAGATATATTCTCACCGATTGGACGTCTTAGTAGGAAACTAAAAGAAACTTGTTGGTCAAACAAAAAAGACTACCACAGCGCACATACATACATCTTTCTAAACTACGACGAATTTGCTCCAACATTAATTAACTATATATATATATATATATATATATAATTACCATGCATTGATGTATATATTAATTAACTATGCGTGGTGCATGTTTTGCAGCAAACAGGCTCCAAGACGTTAGGACGATGGGGGTGTGGGAAAAACTTATGCAGTGGAAGGTGTACCAGATATATTCTTACCGATTGGACGTCTTAGTGGAAAACTAAAAGAAATTTGTTGGTCAAAAGAAAAAAACTACCACAGCGCACATACATACATCCTTCTAAACTGCGATAAACAGTACAAGAAAGAAGCCCATTTCCAACGATTTTTACGTCAATTATAGATCGTCGTAAATTTACAATTCAATTACATCGAAATTACGATGCGGAACTATTTCGTCATAATTCTGACATAAAATTTTGTTGTCTTAAAATCGACGTAAACTTACGACAATTTTACGACGATTAAACAACGATTTATCTATCGTCGTGAATTTTTCGTAAACTTTACATCGCTTATACAACAATTTGGCCTCCATCTTGTATTCGATGTAATATTGATGTAAACATGATGTAACACTGATTTCGACGTAAATTTGATGTAAATATTCAATGGCAATATGTTGGTAACCAAACAAAAATCTATATATACCCCTTCCCTTCTCTCATTATTCTACCAAACAAAAAAAAACATACAAAGACACAATTTTTTGAGTCTTTGAATGTTTGAGTATAATTTTAGTAGTTGAAATTTACATCAAAGTGCAAAAACAAAAAGTTAATTTTTTTGTTTTTGAAATGTCTATATATGATCTACGAAAGTGGATGTATACGCCCAAAGGTGCTGAGGGGTCGTTGACTGAAGACTTTAAAAACAGATTGGAAATATTCATGTACCAGGCCGGCCTTATGAGAACAGTAATTGAAAGTGGCAAAATGTATTTCTGAAATGCAAAAATAGGAAACATATTCCTATTGACACTGTCTGGAAGCATTTATTGAATAGAGGGTTCATGTCGCAATACTTTATTTGGTATCAGCATGGAGAGGGATATGCTCAAAGTAGTGGTCGGATGGCTGCACGGAGTAGTAGTAATCATCAAGAACATGGAGATTTTGAAGCGTCAAATGATTATCAAAGTAGTCAAGTTCACGGTGAAGATCAGGATAGGATACATGATATGGTTACTGATGCATTTCATGAAACACATGCTGATATTGTAGAGGAGCCCAATGCAGATGCGAAACGCTTTTATGATATGTTAAACGCAGCAAAACAGCCTCTTTACGAGGGATGTAGAGAAGGTTTATCTAAATTACCATTAGCAGCTTGGATGATGACAGTAAAAACTGATCACAATCTATCTGAAGTTTGCATGAAAGATTGGACAGATCTTATTAAAGAGTATTTACCAGATGATAATTTGGCTGCTGAAACGTATTATGAAATTCAGAAGTTGGTTTTTAAACTTGGATTTCCTTCTGAGATGATTTATGTATGTGTTGATAATTGTATGCTTTTTTGGAGAGATGATGAGAAGCTTCAAGAATGCCGTTTTTGCCAAAAGCCAAGATATAGACCGCAAATTGTTGGGCCTAATAAGATTCCGTACATACGAAAGTGGTATCTTCCTATAACTGATAGGTTAAAAAGACTATATTAATCTGAACGGACAGCTGCATCGATGAGATGGCATGCAGAACATTCACAAACAGATGGCAAAATGACTCACACTTTTGATGGGAAATCTTGGAAACATTTTAACACCGTACATCCTGACTTTGCTAAATCTAAGCAAAATGTTTATCTTGGTCTTTGTACTGACGGATTTAGTCCATTTGGTATGTCTAGTAAGCAATATTCTTTAGGGAGGATTACTACACTAACCTTAGAAAGTATCTATATTACTGGTTCGACGCACTTTTATTTTTTTTTACAAACTAACCTAGCATACCCAAAACACCCTTTTCGCCTTTGTTGAAAAAAACCTTATTACGAAAATGCCATTACTTTTTTAATGCCACGTAGGCAGATTTATGCGCTCAAAAATTAATATGTCTACCAAGCAATGGCGATAGACTTATGAAAATTTGGTCAACGCAGAAATTTTGTTGGTAGAGTTATTAGGGCGATGGTAGATTTGTTCAAGAGTTGGTAGAGTTTTTAAATGTTGGTAGACTTTTCTTGGTAGAGTTTTGACGATGAGAGGTAGATTTATTATGTTTCGGTAGATTTGTTGTTATGAATGGCAGACTTGTCAAAAGTTTTGGTAGACTTGTTAACAAAAGCGTTGACTTTCTCGCATAGTTGACTTTTTCGGTAGATTTATTGACAATGAAGTAGATTTATTTTCTGAGTTGGTAGACTTATTTCCTTTAGCGGTAGATTTATGTGAAAAAAGTTGTCAATACGTGCGGTAGATATATCTGTTTAATGGTAGAGTTATATATAGTTGGTAGAGTTTTAGCTATTGTAGTAGATTTGTTTGACTTGTGGTAGACTTGTTTCACTTAAAATTCATTCCGGTGAGTGGTAGATTATATGTTACATGAGGTAGACTTAAAAACTGTTGGTAGATTTATTTGTTTTGTGGTAGATATGTTTGTTTTGTGGTAGACTTATATTTTAAATAAATTTCATTCTGATTTGTGGTAGATTAATAATGACATGAAGTAGACTTACAAGATGTTGGTAGATTTGTTTGTATGTTTTGTAGAGTTTATGTAATCTGGTAGACTTATCGGCCTTATGGTAGACTTTTTGAAATAACAATGTGGTAGATTAATTAAGTTTGGTATTTACAGAGTTAACCTTGATCTGGTAGACATATGACATGCTTATGGTAGACTTGTTTATATGGTAGGGTTATTTGTCATGCTTGAAGTAGACTTAGTAGTTAATGTTTGGCAGACATTTGACTTTATGGAGTAAAATTACTTTTTTGTCCAAAAGAATTGTTCTATGTACAAAAAAACCTACTGTTTGGTAGACTTATGGGTGCAGTGTTGTACGTCTTGCAATTTTCGTCCATATGGTAGACTTATGGTAACGGTAACCATAAACCGTTACCAACGAACCGTCGCATCGATTTAGAGAACTTCTCTTGATGCATTTTCCAACGAACAGTCGCATCGATTTCGAGAACTTCTATTGACTCGAGTCGCTTCGAGTTCTCTTGTGAGTTCTCTATAACTACCACAACCGAGACGATTCATTTCCCATCCCGCTAAACCCTATGGCGAATCTCGAGTCGCTTCCTTCTGATCTTTTGTACGAGATATTGTTAAAAATATCTTCAAACTCGTATGCGGATCTTTGTCTTGCAAAAGTTTCGTCCAAAACACTTAACAACATCTCTAACGAAGCGGGTTTTCTTAGGAATGTTGATTTAATCAACATTATCTTGCCGTGGAAGTGGGATGTTCATGGAAGGGTCGGTGCATTCTTCAGTCGGTGCTTGGCAGCAGGAAATCCATCCGCACAATTGCGAAGAGGTTTATCGCTGATTTTCTTCGAACACAACCTCCAAGCAGGGTGTGATTTCATTCAAATGGCATCAGACAACGGATTTCTCATGGGTAAGTACTGCCACACTATGTTACATCTAACCATGGATGGCACATCAGAGGTATTCAACTCTGTTACAGCTCTCTCCCGGGAAGATGCAAAGAAAATGAGATTGACAATGGAAAAGATCTGCATGCCTGCGTTCAATTTCCAGAAGCCCGAGGAATTGGTGGAAATGGTTTTCCAGGCTTATAAAAAGTCTTTAAGTACAAGGATTTGTGGTTGTCTCAAAGTACCAGACATGCAATGGATGGGAGATGAATACCTGCTAGAGACGTATGGGGATCAATTTTGTGAATCCTGCTTTTGGAAATTGGAGTGTGCCAATTTCTGGTGGGTAGTACCGTCGTTTGCTATGGATTGGCCACGTTTTTTGCATCAGTAGTTGTACTTTCATGTTTGTTGACAGACTTATGTTAAGTAGATTTGTTTTTATTATGAAGTAAACTTATGAAAGTTATGTTGTGTTATTTATGTTGTGTTAAGTAGATTTATGTGTTATTCATTTCGAAAGCTATTAATTATAACAAATCTACCATCAATATAATATAAGTCTACCATTCGTTCGACTGTAATTGGGAACATGACAAGTCTTTTACAACAAATCTACCAACAATTTAATATAAGTCTACCATTCGACTTAATATAAATCTACTAAACATAAGGAAACGGACTTGTACTTAACATATACGCAATGGCTGCAAACACGAACAGCAACGCCATCATCAAGTAGTGGTCACCCCTGGCGTTTTGCTCCGTCATCCAAACAAAGTCGCCTTAAAGCCGGAGTATCTCATCTTTCATTTCCCGAATGTCTCCGACCAAGTCATTGCATTCCATAGACCTCTCCAATGACTGGAAACGATTCCCCAAACGCATGAAACGAGGATCAAAAGCTTGAGCCCTGCTAAGCTCTTGCAATTTCTCCTTATTCTGCTCAAGGCCAATCTTCAACCGTTCCAATTCCTCTGTAACAGCCTTATCCCACCATTTCCAGATATGATCTGGATTCCCCTACATACATCAGGCCAATCTCATACATTAAGTATCACAACAGTTAACTAAAGATTAACAAATGGATATTTTTAAGAAAACTTATGACAAATACTCAAGCTACTTACCTTCTTCAACCAGAATGGACAAGTGTAGTACCTACGGCCAGGTGTTGCGGGCGTATCACCAGGCATTGATTTGAGGATCATATCCCGACCACAATAACACTTTCCCAAAGTCCCCAAAACCCGACCACTTTAACGTATCCATTTCCGGCTCTTCAGAAGAACTGTCGCTATAGCTCGGCATTGTCTGTGTCGATAAGAAAAGTACTAAACAACACAAATCAAAATAAACAAAAGTCTACTATAAATATTTAAAGTCTACCATCAGCATATAAAGTCTACCATAAAACCAGAAAAGTCTACTATAAATGAAAATACGTAAACTCTACTACATATTTAAAAAGTCTACCACTCACACAAAAACTAGGGTTTCTGGGTTTAGGCATACAGCCGCCGATAGCCGAGAAACAACCTTTCGACGACGAAATAGATGCATTTTATCACTTTTACTAAAGCAGGACGACTTTTAGTTTGAACATTAACCCCAGCAATGATAGAAAACTCCAATAATCTATAACAAAAGTCGTTTAATGCTATGAACACTAAATGTTTACCGCGGTTATGAATGTTCATACCAAATAATGTGTGAGTACTCCTTCGCCGTCGGTGGAATCGACGAAGCCAAGACGTCGCTATTACCGTTTGAACTCGCTTATATCGCAAGACCAGCCGATTTATATCGAAACTCGCTCATAAGTTTATGTTTTCTGCTGGGTTTTCACCTCCTTAAATGTACTATACTTTAGTTGGTAGAGCTATAAACATTACAAGTACATATGTTTTATTAATGGTAGACTTAGTGACCTATATGGTAGATTTGTTTGTAAATTGTTAGATTCAATATCAATGTGGTAGACTTAGTTATCGGGCAGTGCGATTTTACTTTTTTGCCCTGTATGTATTGTCTAAAGTACGGAACAAAACCAGAGTCCATCTTCAACCTCTAGGTTTCGCCGTCGAGCTGTTAAACTTGGGATAACTCTTGATTTTTTCCTTCTACTTCGATCTTGTGCCTCTTATCCACTTTTATATTCTTGGATCAAGTTGTTTTGGTTTATGGTAACTGGGTTTTAAAGAAAACGAGGTGGGTCTTCATCGTAGATCAGTCCAGGAGATGTAGTTTTATAGGGATAGACCGCAAAACGTCCTTTGCCGATTTGGTTGAAATCCCATATGAAGATTTCGGGTTGGATCAACATCTTTATGAGCTTCAGTTCAGCTATATGTTGTCGTCTGAAGTCCGGCGGAAATTACCTCTGGATACACCTCCTGTGTTTGTTGGTAATTCAAGACAGCTGCAGAGTTTTTTGCATCAATTCCAGAACGAAAACGAAACGGTTTGTTTATGTGTTGAGATCAAAGAAAAAGTTCAGAAGGGAGTTGTTGATGAAGACGAAGATCGAGATGCATGTCCTAGTCTAGTCCCTGAAGAACAAGTGCGCCAAGATCGTCCGCAACAAGGTGTTGAAGTTGGACAAGACGAAGAAATGCATGATGAAGAAGAGGATTTGTCAACCAGATTTGATGGATGCGAAGATCCTGATGGTGCAAGTTCCGATGGCGAAGAGTACGGTAGACGTGAGAAACGTCCAGATGGTGAAAGTTCAGATGAGGAGGAGTCGCTAAATCTACCACCGAAGAAAAGGGGACCGACTACAATTCCCGACTTTCAATGTCTAGAGCTTTCATCTTTAGACTTAGCCGTTGGCCAGCGTTATGAAACAAAAGAGGACTTCGAGATGCGACTCAAAATTCTTTCCATTGCTCACAAATTCGACTACAATGTCGATCATTCGAGTAAGAAATTGCTAACTGTTAAGTGTTAGGTAGATGGTTGCAAATGGAGGGTTCGCGCTTCAACTGTTGGGAGCAGCAAATGTTTTTGGGTTAAAACTTATACTCGAGAACACACGTGTTCTGTGACTGTGCGATCACAACGCACCCGCCATGCAACCCATGAGGTTCTAGGCCGTCTATATAAGGACTTCGTCGGCGGTGTTGGCCCAAAAGTCTTACCAAATCACGTCGCCGAAGCTCTGACCAAACGATATAGTATAAAGGTATGTGGTAGAGTTATATTATTTCTTTGGTAGAGTTATTATCTCTTTTAGTAGACTTTTATTATTTTGGTAGAGTTATTAGCTCAATTGGTAGACTTTTTTATTTTTTTGGTAGACTTTTTTATTTTTTTGGTAGAGTTATTAGCTCAATTGGTAGACTTATTTTATTTTTTGGTAGAGTTATTAGCTCATTTAGTAGACTTATATAATTTATTTGGTAGAGTTATTATCTAGCATGGTAGAGTTATTATCTTTATGGTAGAGTTATTATCTTTATGGTAGAGTTATTATCTTATTTCGTAGACTTCACTATATTATTTCTCATTATCAGGTTGACTATTGGAAAGCACATCAGGCCCTAAAGTATGCTCGAGAACTAGTATCAGGGACGTCTGAAAGTGGTTATGAAGATCTGCCTTCATACTTATATATGATTCGGCGAGCAAATCCGGGTACACTAATCAAGCTAGAAGTTGATGAGGAAGATAGATTCAAATTTATGTTCCTCTCATTTGGCGCAAGCATACAGGGGTTTCCCTTCATGAGGAAAGTGGTAGTGGTCGACGGTACGTTTTTACATGGAAAATACAAAGGTACACTACTACTCGCCACCACGCAAGATGGAAACTTCAACATTTTTCCCGTAGCCTTTGCTGTTGTTGATACTGAGAACGATGAGTCTTGGGAATGGTTTTTTACACAACTACACCGTGTTATTCCTGATGATGAAGGACTTGCCATTATTTCTGATAGGCATAAATCCATAGGAAATGCTATAGGGAAGGTTTATCCTCTTGCTAGTCGGGGTATTTGTACATATCATCTCCATAAGAACATTATGGTGAAATTCAGAGGCGGTGAAACATTCAAGCTTGTTAAGAAGGCTGCCACTGCTTATAGACTTCTCGAGTTCAATGCCCTTTTTGCTCAGATTCAAGAGGCAAATCCTGCACTGCATGCATACTTGGTGAAGGCAGATATTTGTATGTGGAGTCGTGTACACTTCCAAGGTGATAGGTACAATTTCACCACTAGCAACATAGCGGAGTCATTAAGCAAGGTGCTATCTGCTGCAAGAGGTAAGCCTATCGTACGACTAGTGGATGATATAAGGAGTTTCCTGACCAGGTGGTTTGCTAAAAGACGTGTGAATGCCAATAACATGGCTACCACTCTAACAACGGGCGTTGAAAAGTTGTTGGAGGTAGACACTACTTTACCTTGTAGACTTTCTATTATTTGGTAGACTTGTATCTGCTATTAGGTAGACTTTCTATTATTTGGTAGACTTGTATCTGCTATTAGGTAGACTTTCTATTATTTGGTAGACTTGGTACACTTATCTCTGCTATTAAGTAGACTTTCAATTATTTGGTAGAGTTATTACTTCTATGTGGTAGACTTATATAACTTCTAAATAATTCCTTGCCGACAGGCTAGAGTTGAAGATGCTAAACTCTTACCTGTGCAAGAGATTGATCAGCATCGTACAGAGGTTTTAGGCACAACATCTGCACATGTTGTCAATTTAACGGAGAAAACATGTACTTGTCGACGGTTTGATTTGGATAAAATTCCTTGCGTACATGCCATAGCCGCCGCCGATCTCTCTTTGCCATCATTACTACCACACTAGTTACTTGCAACAAGCGTATGCTGTTAGTGTGATGCCAAGAGACGTAGCACTCCCTGTGCCAGATGAAGTAGCAACCAAAATTTGTCTCCCGCCTGATGTTCGCAACCGACCCGGCAGGCCAAAGAAAATTCGGATTAAGGGTGCGTTCGAGGCCGCCATGGCCAGTAACGTCCTCGGAAGATCCCCAAATGTGGTAATTGTGGCCAAGGCGGACATAATCGCCTAACTTGTCGAGCTTAGTTGACAAATCGAAAACCTTGTATTTGTACTATTATAGACTGCAATAATCCGCTTGAAAACCTTGTTTTATGTACTTGTAAATCTGGAACTTGTTTTATCTAAACTCTACTATTTTACAATAATAAATCTACCAATCATGTTATAAATCTACCAATATTGCAATAAATCTACCAATCATGTTATAAATCTACCATTCATGGAATAAATCTACCAATCATGTTATAAATCTACCAATATTGCAATAAATCTACCAATCATGTTATAAATCTACCATTCATGCAATAAATCTACCAATCATGTTATAAATCTACAAAGCAGGTTCCTTTTACAGCCATGGCGAGTCGCTTTAAATTCCAAAACACAAGCGACGTCTAAATTCCAAAAGACCACCAAAGAGGCTGGCTATGAGTAATAAATCGGCCAAAATACAATATCCGATACCAAAAGTCTACCAATTAGTTTGGATCTGAGTATTAAATCTACCAAAAAACGATTTCAGATCCCAAAAGTCTACCAAACCAAGATCTCAGTTAGCGGAGTCTGTCTGTAAACCGTACTTGTCATCAAATAAACTTTGAGGGTTAGGATCAGACATCCGGGATTCTTCTGCTTCATGTACCTCATCAAAAATCTCAGCTGCGTATTTCATACGAATGAGAGGCATGTTGCTATCTTTCAGCTGGTCCCATTTATGGCACAAAGCAAAACACTCGATGGTCTTCAAAGTAAAGACGCCACAATCACCTGATAACAAGTACCCGATAATTAGTTAAAAGTCTACCAAATAAAAATACCAAATCTACAGAGCTGCATTGCACCTGTCTGTCTGTTTAGTGCCGCTGTTTTATCCATGTAGATATGAAACTGCCCCTCCTTCATACCCTTCTTGAGCTCCGGTGGTGCCATATGTTTCAACAACAGCGGAATCATCCTCGCGTAGGGCTTCACAGACTCCTCCACCTCGCCTTTTCTGTATAAATCTGGAATGCAATCAAACACTCGGATCTTTTTTTTGGGAATGTCGACCTCAACGGCTACCCAATGTTCGTTGTTCACGTTGTGGGCGATATACACGAAATCAACATCTGTCCCCCATTTCTTGTGTGTAGGCAAGTAATGGTCGTAGTGACCGTTGGCAACGTCCAAATAACCATCACTGAATATCCAACTCTTCTCGTTTGGTAGAAATTTGGTTCGATAGTCTCCACACCAAACTCGACAAAAGATAGGATCAATGAAAGCAACTCTTCCCCCTTTGTAAGGAGATGGATACCGCATAGACCGTTGCCGGAACATGTCTAATCCTTTGCACATATGCTGCATTAGGTAATGAAACAAATTTATATAAGTCTACCAACCAGCTTTACAAGTCTACCAAACATAATAGAATACAAGTCTACCAAACATACTGACTAAATCTACCATTTGTTACTACATAATATAATACAAGTCTACCAAACATAATGACTAAATCTACCATTTGTTACTACAAGTCTACCAAACAAGTCTACCAAACATAATGACTAATTCTATCATTAAGTTTCCAAAGTCTACCAAACCTTTTGAAACTAAGATCGGGTGACTGATACGACCACATACCTGATCATGCAACCACCCATACTCCTTTCTCGGCCAGCTTTCTTTAGGGGTCATTAGTGTCAGGTAAAATTCTCCTCCTGCATATGGACTCTCCAACTGTTTTTCCCTGAAAAATGACATAGACATACCAGACTCCGAAGTAAGTCTACCAACATACCTAATAAGTCTACTATATAAAACAAATAGGTCTACCAAATCAAACAAGTAAGTCTACCATGGAAATTTAAAACTGACTTACGCTTCAAAAGCTACGTAGCGGGTTAGATTATCCAGTATTCGACTGTCCACCGCTTCAAAAGGATCATACCTCCCAGGAGGGGGACCTGCTGGGTCCATGATGCGTCTCACCACTGAGTTACCAAGGTAGGGTGAAACCTGGGTCGGTGCAAGGCTGCGTCCCCTTTTTTCCTTCTCAGCAGGTGGATTTTTTGCATGTTCCACCAGCTTATCTAAGCGTTTCTTCATAGCTTCAATCGCTGAGTCGTCTTCGTCTTGCAGGGAAGGGATCTGTACTCGTCTAGACTGTAGTGGGCGTGAAACGTCGCTTATATTGATTATCTGGCTTTCTTCGTTTTTGTCTTTTAAATCAGGTTTTGACTTTGTGCCTGATTTATTCTTCTCTTTAGGATCAGCATGTTCTTTTTTCACTTTGGTTACAGTCTTTCCTCTCGACGCTGGGGTTGTAACAACTCTTGCAACAGGAAAACCTGGCTCTGATGTTTCCTGCATCTCCGTCATCCACGACTGCTTGGCATGTATAGTAATTTCACATCAGTCAAACCAAATAATAACATAACTAAATCTACCTAAAAATCTACCGAATTAATTATAAATCTACTTAATATAAATATCACTGCCAAAAATCTACCACATAAAGTTAGTCTTGTATTCCAAGAAAACATTAAAAGTCTACTGTGCAGGAAAAGTTTAAAAAAAACCATCAATACAAGTCTACCAAAGTAAAAAAGTATTTCGTACAAATCTACCATAAAGGAAAGGAAAACGATATGTTTAAACATAGTTGAATGTTGTCTCCATGACATTAGAAGAGAGACTTGCGTACCGGATCCTTTTCCACAGCTCGCGTTCCCGTTCCTGCTCCACCTCCCGTTGACGTTCCTGCTACTGGCGCTGCTGCTGGAGGAGATGCCTTTGCTCTAGGGGTTTTCGGTGAGGTTTTGGATTCTGCATCACCGGCATTATCATCATTGTTACCATGGTCGTTGTCAACCTTGTTCCCAGAATTCGCCATGGCCTCCTCTTTCTCTTCATGTTTATCCTCGATAACGGCAATCCTCTTATCCAGGAGGTCTATACGAATTACAGCACTGCTGACATTGCTGTTTAGCAATGCTACCGTCGTTGATAAACCATTGATTGCCATGAGGATCTCATTCGTCCTATCCTCCTTCTCCACAGCGGGCTCTTTCTTCTTGCTCTCGTTCTCTCTTTGCTTCTCTCTCTCCTGCTCCTCTCTTTCCTTCTCTCTTTCCTTCTCCTTTCTTTCTTTTCTTTCCTTTCTCTCCCTTTTCTCCTTTCTCTTTTCTTCAATTGCATCCTTTAGTAGCTTCACCGGCGAGTTAAAATCATCATCTTCTTCCTCATCCTCCTTCTTACGTTTCTTTTTCTCCTTGTTTTCGTGCTTCGTCTCTTCTTTCCTTGCCTCTCTTTCCCTTCTCCTTTTGCTTCTCGGAGTTGAATCCGTTGCTTCAGCCTCTTTCACCTTCTCTTTCTTTTTCTTCTCCACGCGTGGAGTTTCCAACTTCCTCTTCGACTGTTTCGACGTCTGAACTGTTGCAGCGCCACCTGTTGCATCGCCACCTACGTTTTTGGGAGATTCCCAGAACCCCTCATCCAAGCTTCCATCCAGAATATCGCATATCATGATATGCACCTTTATATCGACGTCTACACGTCGGGGTTCACCTTCCCAGACAGGATATATTTCCTCCAAGGGCTTCACCACCATTAGATGTCTAACCCGAACCTGTGATAGAATCATGGCCGAGATGGGAGCTAAGTACGAGGAACAAATCGAGGTTCAGCCCGGAACGCAAGATCAAATGGCCAAGGTGACCGAGCTAAGCGAAGTCGAGGTTCAGGGAAGGATACAAGACCAAGATACCGACCAGCCCGATGTCCTGGCCATACCAGTTGGACCCATGACCAGGTCGCGTACAAAGAAGCTTATGGGGACCATCCAACAAGTCCTTACTGAGCTAAGGAACCAAGGCCGAGCTGACGACCCAACACCCGTGAACAAAGTCATGACCGTTCTCAGGTACTCTGGTCCGAACTGACCTGGTTGGGGTGTTGTGTTAATACTCTTTTTCCTTACATTCGGTTTTGTCCCACTGGGTTTTCCGAATGGGGTTTTAACGAGGTTAATGCACGCCCATCTCACGACCATGGTTCGATTCGCGGCTAAGTATAACGGTCAAGGAAGCTTAAAGGTCTAGTGAGAGGACGCGAAGGGTCATCTGGAAATCCAATCGTTATTCAACGCATCTAGTCTCGTTTAGTTTTCATTAATGTCTTTTAATTTCCGTTAAGACCTATGGTCTTCCTTTTTAGCCTCTATATAAAGGCGACAATGTACTTGGATCTATCATCACTTATATTTTAATAAAATTTCTCTTTGAGTTTTCTCTTTTGTTCTTTATGAACTTTGTCGATATTTTGGTGGTTAGCCATTGATCGATCTTCGGTTTATCAAGTAGTTTCACCCTACTTGACGTAGCCTTCGATTCCAAAGTGAGAAAGAGAGTTGTAGTCATATTTGGGGCTTAGGGAATTTCGGGACTCGTCTCACACCCTAACATCCGGTATCGCAACCCCCTTGATCATTTTATCCATCCCCTCGTTTCCAACCTCTTCTTTGAATTTGGGCCTAAGGATTTCCCAGCCACAACTCACGCCTTAGCATCTCTTTCACCGAATCGGACTGGATCCAAGGATCTATCCACCTCCACCGAACCAAGTGTGTGACAATCCTAGGACGGACTTCTATCAAGTGGTATCAGAGCCACACACTTATGAATCGGTACTATCTTTCTTTTTCTTTAAAATTCTGTCTTTCCTCATCTTTTCTCTTGTAAATTGATCATAAAAAAAAAAAAAAAGAAGTTCAAAAGTCCAAAAAAATAAAAGAAAGAAGTCCAAAAGTTTTAAAAAAAAAAAAAAAACGATCTGAATTCTTTTCTTCCTATCTATTCTTCTTATCTCTTAAAACGTCCAACTTGCTTGATTCACCAATTCGATTGAGGCTTAAGTCGACTTGTCGATTTAGTTTGTTTAGAACCGGAGAGAAACTCTAGTGTGTTGCGAGGTCATTAAGAGAGTGAGTGAACAAAGAGGGAAACACTTGTGAGGAATTTTATACTAACGTGTTTGTTTAATTTTTGCGAGGTACTTGTATGTCATCTGATTTCTCTGTGGACGACTGTGAATTCTACACCTTCCGGGACGGTAATCACGTTCGTTGGTACACCCCAGGAGAGATGGAAGCCAAGCTTAACCAAATCACTGAGATGATAGAGCGCATGAGCCAACGAATGGAGAGGCTTGAAGTACAGCCGAGGCCAGCGGAAGTAAATGACCAGAACCGTGAGGAACCTGTGCATATCCGCCGAGATCGGAACCAGGAACCTGAGATAGACAATCCATTTTACGATGACAACCATTCGTCTGGTAGTAGCCGAGTGAGGCCGCGAGGCAATCGGATGTTCCGTGGCCGAGCTGGAGGGATCCGAGACCGAGGACACGCCATGCCCATGAGAAACCCGAACGACCGTTACGAGGGAGGACGGCCACAGCAGCGTTACGAAGCCGAACCGGCTAGAGGCCGAAACGACAACGACCTCGGAGGTATGAAGCTCCGGATTCCTGCGTTCTATGGCAAGAGCGACCGAACGCGTTCCTGGAATGGGAAAAGAAGGTTGACATCATTTTTGGATGTCAAGATCTTCTGGAGAGGAAGAAGATCAACCTAGCTGCATCAGAGTTCAACGGTTACGCTATAGATTGGTGGGATCAGATTGTGATCAGTAGAAGAAGAAACGGCGAACGGCCTGTTGAAACCTGGGAAGAGATGGCCACCTTGATGTGGCAACGGTTCGTGCCTGCGCATTATCAACGCGAGCTGCACACTAAGCTCAGACGTCTTACTCAAGGGACTAAGTCTGTAGAAGACTACCACCAGGAGATGGAGAGGCTTATGATCAAAGCCGATGTTTTCGAACCAGAGGACGCAACGATGGCGAGATTCTTGAGCGGTCTAAACCGAGACCTTCAAGACCGAATGGAACTTCAGGAGTATCAGGACATGTACGAGATGTTACACAAAGCAATCCTCTTGGAACAGCAACTTAAGCGCAAGGGAACAAATCGTTTCACTACCGGAACTAGCTCGCGACCGACCTATCGAGACGACAAAGCGGTCTACCCTACGCGACCAAAGTTCGAAGCCAAGCCCGGTCAAAACGCCGACCTCAAAGGCAAACCCGAGGTAACCTCAGCACGGACTCGGGATATCGAATGCTTCAAGTGCCGAGGCAAAGGTCACTACGCGAATAAGTGCCCAATTCAGAGAGCTATGATTCTGTTGGACACCGGTGAGGTCGTCTCCGAGGCTGAAAGTAAAGCTGGACCAAAATATGACGATGAGCCTGAGGAAGAGTATGCGGCTGGAGGAGAGCTACTGGTAGCACGGCGAGTGTTAGTATCACAAGAGCCGGTCCGAGATGAGGATCAAAGAGAAAATCTTTTCCACACCCGATGTATAATCATGGGAAAGACTTGCAGCATGGTCATAGATGGTGGGAGTTGCACGAATGTGGCAAGCCAGAATATGGTGGAGAAGCTCGGGATGCAAACCATCAAGCATCCGCATCCATACAATCTCAGATGGCTTAATAACCAAAGGCAGCTCAAAGTCACCAAGCAAGTCACCGTGCCATTCAAAATCGGACGGTATGAAGATGAAGTATTGTGCGATGTCTTACCCATGGAGGCCGGACACATTCTGTTAGGACGGCCGTGGCAGTTCGACCGGAAAGCCATTCACGACGGTTTCACTAACAAACATTCGTTTGAACACCAAGGACGTAAGGTCGTGTTGGTGCCTTTGTCCCCACACGAGGTATATCTAAATCAAGTTCAATTGGAAAGAAGTAGCAAAGGTAAAGCTACCGTGAGCGACCCCAAAACACCTCCACTAAAAATGAGAGCGATACACCGAGCGAGCCACCACAAAAAGCCTTAAGCATTCAACCCGTGAGAAGAGAGACTCTTTTTGTGAGGCCGAGAGAAATAAAACAGGCTGTGCTTGAGAGGCAACCTTTTATCTTGCTTATGTTTAAATCCACTTTGGCTAGCACGTCTGATTCCGAGCCGGAACTTCCGAGCAGGATTTCTTGGGTTTTACAGGACTATGCAGACGTTTTTCCCGAAGACAACCCAGGCGGTCTACCACCAATCCGAGGTATTGAGCACCAGATTGACCTCGTCCCTGGAGCATCTTTACCCAACCGACCTGCGTACCGCACCAATTCGACCGAGACTAAGGAACTCCAATGTCAGGTTGACGAACTGATGGCCAAGGGCTACATCCGCGAGAGTCTAAGTCCATGTGCCGTGCCCGTGCTCCTAGTGCCAAAGAAGGATGGAACTTGGCGAATGTGTGTTGATTTCCGAGCTATCAACAACATCACGGTAAAGTATCGCCACCCAATTCCGCGTCTTGATGACATGCTAGATGAACTTTATGGGTCTAGTGTGTTCACAAAGATAGATTTAAAAAGTGGATACTATCAGATCCGAATGAAGGAGGGAGATGAGTGGAAGACCGCGTTCAAAACCAAGCATGGTTTGTATGAATGGCTGGTCATGCCATTCGTCCTAACAAACGCACCTAGTACCTTTATGCGGTTAATGAATCATGTGCTTAGGTTGTTTATAGGCGTCTTTGTAGTGGTCTACTTCGATGACATTCTGATATACAGTAAGAGTCTAGAGGAGCATGTGAATCATTTGAAACAGGTGTTAGAAGTCCTTAGGAAAGAACGTTTATTTGGAAACTTTAAGAAATGTTCTTTTTGTACGGATAACGTGGTGTTTCTAGGCTTTGTTGTCAGTTCACAGGGAATACAGGTGGACGAGGAGAAGATCAAATCCATCCGAGACTAGCCGAGTCCCAAGACGGTTGGAGAGGTTCGCAGCTTCCACGGTCTGGCCGGGTTCTACCGACGGTTCGTACGAGACTTCAGTACGATCGCAACCCCTCTCACCGAGGTCATCAAGAAGGACGTAGGATTCAAATGGGAACGAGCTCAGGAGGAAGCGTTCAATACCCTCAAGCATCGGCTTACGCATGCACCCTTACTCTCCCTGCCCGACTTTCTCAAGACTTTCGAGATCAAGACTTTCTCAAGAGAAACGACCGATCGCTTACTTTAGCGAAAAGCTTGGAGGAGCAACGCTTAACTATCCGACCTACGACAAGGAGCTCTATGCTTTAGTCCGAGCTCTCCAGACTTGGCAACACTACTTGTGGCCCAAGGAGTTCATCATCGATACTGATCACCAGTCTTTGAAGCATCTCAAAGGACAACAGAAGCTGAACAAGCGACATGCGAGATGGGTCGAGTTCATCGAGACCTTCCCTTATGTGATTCAGTATAAGCAAGAAAAGGAGAATGTCGTGGCTGACGCGCTATCCCGACGATATGCCCTGATCTCAACGCTTGATGCCAAGATACTTGGGTTTGAGATGATCAAAGAGGCTTATGCAACCGACCAGGACTTTCAAGAAGCTTACCGCGTCAGTTCTAAGTTTGCCTATGGCAAATATTATCAGAGTGACGGTTACTTGTTTTATGAGCATAAATTGTGTATACCTAACACTTCTATGCGTGATTTGATTGTCAGGGAGGCACACGGAGGAGGCTTGATGGGACATTTCGGAGTTCTCAAGACACTAAGCGTGGTCCAAGACCATTTCTATTGGCCACACCTCAGGAAAGATGTGGAACGAATATGTCAAAGGTGCACAGTGTGCAAACTAGCCAAAGGCCGCAGCCAGGGCGCAAGAATGTACACGCCCCTAACCATTCCCACCGAGCCGTGGACAGACATCTCCATGGACTTCGTCCTCGGGTTACCTAGGACCCGCCGAGGTAAGGATTCCATCTTTGTCATAGTCGGTAGGTTTTCTAAGATGGCACACTTTGTCCCATGCCACAAAACCGATGATGCTTCCAACATATCCGATCTGTTCTTTAAGGAAATCGTTCGTTTACATGGGGTTCCTAGAACCATAGTGTCAGATCGGGATACCAAGTTTCTCAGCTACTTTTGGAAAACGTTGTGGGCTAAATTAGGAACTAAACTATGTTTTTCCACAACTTGTCACCCTCAGACCGACGGTCAAACCGAAGTGGTCAATAGGACCTTGTCAGCTCTTTTGAGATCGGTCATTAAAAGGAACCTTAGGACTTGAGAGGAATGTTTACCTCATGTTGAGTTTGCTTATAACCGAGCTGTTCATTCTACAACTTTGTTTTCACCATTTGAGCTAGTTTATGGTTTTAATCTTCTTACACCTTTGGATCTAACCCCTTTGCCAATGAATGAGCGTGAAAACATGGATGGGAAAAAGAAAGCCGAGCTGGTGAAGAAAATGCACGAGAAAGCAAGGCAGAACATCAAAAGAAAGACGGAGCAATTCCAGAAGTATGCCAACAAAGGAAAAACCAAAAGGATGTTTGAGCCCGGAGACCAAGTGTGGATCTACCTAAGGAAGGAGAGGTTTCCCGAAGAGCGAAAGTCTAAATTAAAGCCAAGAGTGGACGGACCCTTCACAATCTTGGAGCGGATCAACGACAATTCATACAAGATTGATCTCCAAGGTAAGTATTCAGTTAGCTCAAGTTTCAATATTGCTGATATCATTCCTTTTCACGCAGATGAAGCCGACTTGAGGACAAGTCCTTTTCAAGAGGGGGGGGGGGATGATAGAATCATGGCCGAGATGGGAGCTAAGTACGAGGAACAAATCGAGGTTCAGCCCGAAACGCAAGATCAAATGGCCGAGGTGACCGAGCTGAGCGAAGTCGAGGTTCAGGGAAGGGTACAAGATCAAGATACCGACCAGCCCGATGTCCTGGCCATACCAGTTGGACCCATGACCAGGTCGTGTACAAAGAAGCTTATGGGGACCATCCAACAAGTCCTTACCGAGCTAAGGAACCAAGGCCGAGCTGACGACCCAACACCCGTGAACAAAGTCATGACCGTTCTCAGGTACTCTGGTCCTAACTGACCTGGTTGGGGTGTTGTGTTAATACTCTTTTTCCTTACATTCGGTTTTGTCCCACTGGGTTTTCCGAATGGGATTTTAACGAGGTTAATGCACGTCCATCTCACGACCATGGTTCGATTCGCGGCTAAGTATAACGGTCAAGGAAGCTTAAAGGTCTAGTGAGAGGACGCGAAGGGTCATCTGGAAATCCAATCGTTATTCAACGCATCTAGTCTCGTTTAGTTTTCATTAATGTCTTTTAATTTCCGTTAAGACCTATGGTCTTCCTTTTTAGCCTCTATATAAAGGCGACAATGTACTTGGATCTATCATCACTTATCTTTTAATAAAATTTCTCTTTGAGTTTTCTCTTTTGTTCTTTATGAACTTTGTCGATATTTTGGTGGTTAGCCATTGATCGATCTTCGGTTTATCAAGTAGTTTCACCTTGCTTGACGCAGCCTTCGATTCCAAAGTGAGAAAGAGAGTTGTAGTCATATTTGGGGCTTAGGGAATTTTGGGACTCATCTCACACCCTAACATCCGGTATCGCAACCCCCTTGATCATTTTATCTATCCCCTCGTTTCCAACCTCTTCTTTGAATTTGGGCCTAAGGATTTCCGAGCCACAACTCACGACTTAGCATATCTTTCACCGAATCGGACTGGATCCAAGGATCTATCAACCTCCACCGAACCAAGTGTGTGACAGTCTTAGGACGGACTTCTATCAACCTGCCATGCCATAGAAAATGATATTAATAAATCTACCATGATATTAATAAATCTATAAAACTGAATCAAAAACTCTACCAAAATGTAAAAACTCTACCAAACTGTACAAACTCTACCAAAATGTAAAAACTCTACCAAAATGTTAAAACTCTACCAAATAGTAAAAACTCTACCAAATGTTATATTCTACCACATTTAATAACTCTACCACAAATTGTTGTATAATAAATAACTCTACCGAACACTAAGCTATTATCAAAAAACTCTACCAACTAAATAGCTGCTAAGGTACAAGTACCTTGTGGTCCTCGGTTTCACTCTTACCCATCTCCAAAAAAGTCTCGAAAACATAACGACACCGTGATGAAGTCCACCTAAGAAGAGGAACAACCGAGTCATCTACATCGGGGCGTATTTTCCCTGCTCTCTCAGCCAATATAGGGATGCACTCATAACCCCAAACAAGCATTGCCTGTACACATCCGTGGAGAGTGTATCGTGCTCCCCCCAAGTTAGCAATCTTGAGGGAATAAATTAGTTCATGGAATCCATAACGACCCCACGGCTGTCTCTCGAAAGCTGCTTCATCCATAACTGTTTTGGCTAAAGCCAACGAGATTCGACTGTTGCGGTGAAGTCCCAATACACCAACATGCAAAATGAAAAGCAACGCCAACATCTTCTTCTTCTCATAAGTCCATGCTTGGCAAGTTTTCATCCGAGCTTCTAACTCATTCCAATTAGGGCCTTCCCCACCTCTCACTCCAATCTCGGCCCAAAATTCAGTGTGATCTATTTCCAACTTGTCACTGGGATCAATTGGGTCACAGTTTAGCCCCGTGATTTCAGCATACTCTAAGAGTGAAAATCTAATCGGGCGACCTCCAATAAGAGTCCAGAACTCATGATTCCTATCCACCTTCAGTTGGTTGCTCACAAAATACTAAACCGTCTTAGCACTCCATATGAACGAAGTCAATGCAAGCTTCAGTAGCACGCCAACTTGAGAATTACTCATGATGTCGTTGTAAATTTCTTCCCCAAGGTGATCCCTGATCATCATGATGAACTCATGAAGCTTGCAGTTATGATGACAACTCTTCTTCAGCAAAGGAGATTTGCCTTCCGGGTACAATCTTTAGGGATAATCCTTTGAGCCGCTAGCTGAAGCCATGTCTGCAAACAAATAAAAATATTAAA